AATGACTCCGAGATCCCTTTCCGCCTCTGTGCTTTCAAGAAGGGAACTCCTCCAGCCTGTATGTATGCTGTAGATTCCTTCTCCCAAGGTGCAGCACCTTGCAGTTGTCTACGTTGAACCCCATCCTATTCTCATCTGCCCACTTTTGTAGTCTGTCTAAATCTAGTTGCAGCCTCTCTCTCCCTTCAAGTGTGTCCACCTCGCCCCACATCTTAGTGTCATCAGCAAACTTGGACAGCCTGCTTTCCACCCCCTTGTCCAAGTTGCTGATGAAGATGTTAAACAGTACAGGCCCGAGGACCGAGCCCTGGGGTACCCCACTGCTCACACCTCGCCAGGCTGAGTACAACCCATCCACCACTACTCTCTGGGTGTGCCCCAGCCAATTTTTTACCCATCCAACTGTGCAGGCATCAATGGCGCAGTCACTTAATTTATTGATGAGGATGGGGTGAGGGACGGTGTCAAAGGCCTTCTTAAAGTCTAGAAAGACTACGTCCAGAGCAACACCATCATCCAAGGATTTAGTTACTTGGTCGTAAAAGGCAATCAGGTTGGTCTGGCAGGACCTGCCTTTGGTGAACCCATGCTGATTGCCCCTGAGCATGATCTCCCCTACAGGCCCCCCGCAAATATGCTCCTTGATGATCTTCTCCAAGAGCTTCCTGAGCACCGAGGTGAGGCTTACAGGCCTATAATTACTTGGGTCCTCCAGGTTGGAGGCCCCAAATAGCCATTAAGGCAACAGGTGCCCTGAGGCACGTATGGGCCAGGACAGCTCATCTAGTGAAGGGCTGAATTTGGGCTAGCAGGGTCCAGGAGGGGAGTTGCTAACGAAGGTAGGACAAGGGCATACTCCAGGACTCTGGGGCAGCTTCTCTTTGAAAAATCAATTATTACATCAAGGTGTGGCAGGAAAGTGTAAAGGGAGAGCATCTAGAGCTAGTGCAGAGCAGTAGCCTTTGGGACACCACGGGCATCATGGCTTTGGGACACCGGGGGCACCTTTATTATAGAAACTAATGGTCCCACAAAAATTAGAATCCAAGGTCTTTTACCTGGTAACTCATGACAGAATGAACTGGTAACTGTGTTTAGATTTATCACTGTACAGTAGAACATATATATTTGTTCATTTTAAAACACATGTCTAAATGCAAAATCTCCTTATAACACTTTTATAGGTCCTTTATTTTATCTGAAATTCTATTTTTTCTCTATTTTGGACATAGTCCCCTGGCCACTGGATAATATTTATCCATATTAGTAAAAAAAAAACCACACCAAAAACAAATCTCCCACATTAAAACCTATAAAAAGTTGGCACACTGATGTAATTCTGTAACTTACAGTCAAGGCCAGAGTTTTAAATCCCCTCCACCCAAAAACACTTCAATGCTACAAAGAAAGTACAGTTTTGTATGAGCAAACTAATTACAGTCCAATTTTAGACCATATTTTGGTTTTTCCTTTTCTTAAATGTAATGTCTATAGACTTTGGAAAACAAATGCAAATACTGACAGGCCAAACATCACCCTAAATCTCATCATAAAATGCATACACCAGAGAGATGCAGACACCAACCTTTGGGTTCCAGTTTGATCTTCTTTGCTTTTATTTTAACCTCTGTCTCCTCTTCTTCCACCTCCTCAATTTTGCGCTTCTTTGCAACAGTAGGAAGCGTAGAGTCACCAGATGGGTCAAATGTTTTCACTTCACTGGAATGAAGAGAACAAAGTCAGTTGTTAAATTAGAAGGGAAGGAAGAAAGTGACAGCGTAACAGATGAGATCAAAGAGGTGACATGCTCACTTTCTACTGCCTATCATCATTATCTCACTGGAAAAGTCTCGGTGAAAATGGCATAACTAGGAGTCAGAAGGACTAGTGGTAGCCAGGTCTGTTTGCAGAGACAGGACAGCTACTGGGATTATATTCTACAAAACACGACTTTCATTTGCAAGGAAAGGCCCAGTTCAAATGAAAGTAATTTTTGCTTGCATTAGAAGGGTCAAAGATTTCCAATTCTACTCTGATCAAAGAGTTCAAATGACCCATTCAGTTGATTTCTAAGTAGTTAAGGCCTTTCCCTTCACATAGATTTCTAGAGTCAGAAGGGACCTGGTAGATCAGGTCCTCTGCTTGGTAGTGTGCACAAGCATTCCCAGAAATACAGAAAGGACGTGCTGTTGTTTAAACAAGGGAGAGATTTGCAAAGTACAATTAGATAAGCCATTCCAATCAGTGCCCAGAACTATCCTCCCAAATACTGCAGGTCCCCCCTCTGACAGCCTTTGCTTAGTTCCAGCTTCTTTTAGAACCTTCCAATACAGCTACCCGCATTAGCGCATGTCCACAATTCTCTACCCTTCCCACTCCTGTTGTCAGACATCTTCTATATTACAACATCTTTTCCAACCCTTGGAGCAATCAAAGGGTTATCTTAACTAATGGCAGGTACTTGCTAAGGTGCCTCGTCTGAAGACAAATCAGTTAGCAGTAATTTCTACTGACTGACCTGTGGTTTAAACAGAATCCCAAATTACATAAAAGGAGCTATGTTAAGAGAACATAATGTGTACAAAGTCACGCATTCTAAAGTAAGGAAACACTGGAATTAAGGTACAGTCATAATTCAGGCTCTTCAGGCATACACATTACAATACATTTATATGACCACAGAAGTAAAGATTGTTTTTTCAACCTGTTCTGGAGACCAAGATAAGCTGCATACTGAGGAGGCTCTGGCCTCAATAACTGCAGAAGACAGAATGCATGCAGCAAATATTATATGGGTTGCAGGTACTGAAGGGCAGTCTCACGATTCAAGCAGATGAATGGTGCACTAGAGAAATGGATTCTAACCCATCACAGAGCACATGCTACTTAACTGAAACTTTTCCAAGGCAGTTATGAACTGCACAGCAATTACTGTCTGGCTGTCCATGCTGAAACCCTAAGGAAACATTTGCAGAAGTGCTGAGCACTCACAGCTGCAAATGAAGTCAATGGAAGCTGTGCTTTGGCAATCAAAGTGCTACAAAACAGCTTCATATTTGGAAAAAAATAGGGCCCCAGGTGTTTCAAACTAAACACCCAAAATTAATACTTCAGGCCTTAATCTCTGTACCTCAATTTTATCACTGTAAAGTGGGAATAAACACTTCTCTCAAAAAGGTGTTTTGAAAGAGATTAAGTGCTTCACATATATCTATTACGACACTGGTATAAATTAATGCAGTTCATGAGGAAAACGAACAACCGTTTTCAAAGTGTGGTTTTAACACAATGAGCAGCAGAGTACACATTTTTTCCTCCTCTGTTCAATCCGCTTATTAATTGATGACTCAATGTGTCATGGGTCCTGCTGACATAACAGCATGGTCCTGTGATTAAGGACTACATGTAATGCACGCACAAAGGGGATCAAATAGAAGTGGCATTGGAAACCTTGATTCTGGCATTTCCCAACCTCTGAGTGCTTGACTTGACAACCATAATTCTCTTGCAGCACTTCTACATTATCCTAGACTTCTAAAAATGCAAAAAGCAGCTTTATCAAATAGCATGATACTGACAGACTAGCAGGTCAGAGAGCTGGGTTCCCCAGGTGGATCTTCTAACCTTAGTGCCGTTCCCTACCCCACCTCCATCTGTCTTTTCAGAGTTCTCTATCAACAACCCAAATACTTGGCATCTTCATCTCTCATGGGAAAGGGAAGATGTCCCTCATCCATCACCACCCCCAGCGCTCCTCTGTGATGGTCTCAATTTGGCAAGATAAATGTTCCCTTTAGCTTTATCCCACCAGTTAAACAAAATACTTTGGCTGAAACTTTTCCCCCCAGAAAACATCCCACAGCAGACACCCAGCATGGAGAACTTCAGCCAAAAAAGCAGAAGTTTGACAAAATAGTAAGCAACTGAAATCAGGGTCTTACGTTGGGTAGTGTCTGGCAACCTTATTGTGGAGTGTGTAGTGCTGCCTATTGCGTATATCCAGTATATATTTTTTAGATATGTACACCACTTCTGCCTAATACAACCAATGCTTCACTTTGTGAAAACAGGAAGAAAACAGATTAAAGTAACCCTCTTCTTGGTCATCACTACAGTGCTATTTACAATCAATGAGCTTTAACCTGCTATTACAGATGGTCATATTTAACCCCTTGTAAGGCTCCCTCTGCCCTTTAGAAGGACATGCTTGGATGCTTTATCTGAAACCCATCTCAACTAAATACATTAGGACTGATTTTAAGATTCACTGTATGCACATGGGTGCCACAAGAAACAATTATGGATCCTCTCAAAAGAAACTGTACTCCTACTGCTTATGGATAACTTTGTGCAGTGGCAGTATCATAGCCCATGAGGCTTGGCCGAGGCACGATTATTGCTAGTTGAACTTTCATATAGCAGAAATTCTTGTCATCCTAAATGAAGTGTGAAAAGGGTATTTCTGAGGAGACTAGCCGTGGCCACCTTGCTCAGGAATTAGCTGAGCATGACTGGGAAAACAGGGGCTCTGTCAGATTATAACAGATGCTCACATCATGCTTCAACATTGGCTCAGTTGTGATAAGAACGATCACTTAACACTCCCAACACTCAGTATCCAAGATTCTTTCTGCCAAACCCAGATTACTGCAGGGCAGAAGCTGATTTGCAGTTTATGGGCCTTGAGTTCCTGCCATGAGAAATGCTGTTACTTTTCAGGAACATGGCCACCTCTGAAGAAAAAATTAAGGAACACTGTGTTTCAGAGTTTACTCATGAGATATGCTTCTTACAAGTTGTTTGAGATGGTGAGACTGAAGCACAGCTGGAAATTATTTTGAGCACCTCCATCCTGTCTTGGAGTCCCTTGGCTAGTGTAGACAAGTTCTGCAAACACGTCATGACAGAACATCTAGAGACCCTTTTTCAGTAGGCTATGGATATACTAGGATCATATCACAGGTATCATTCCCCTTTAAAATCCACTGATGTTTCACCACTGCTATGGCTGCATTTTCAAAGGCTTCTCTATACTTCAAGTCCTACCATAAATCACAATATGAAAACCATCACCATCATTAGATATGCTACTGGTGGGGTTTTGGAGGGCGACGGGAGTCTTTTGCCCTGGGTTTTGTTTTTCTGAAGATTTGCAGCTTTAGCAGACAGGATTGGGGCAGCTGCTTGGTGACTGCACATGGGTGTAGCATCATTAGTTAATTCCTAATGGAACTATTCATGCTTCTGCTACACATATGACCAATGGCCACCTGCAACAGATGATCCAACAGAATAAAAACGCGAAGTTTAACATTAGTTTTTATTACTTTTCCTTACCTCACATGTAAAAATCTATCTAGTGTAAACCCTCTTTTTCACCATCATTTCCTATATTTAGATGTTCAACCTCCTGAGCTACAATTTGCCAACATCACTACAGATACCAGAAACTGAATATTTAAACAATATCATGTCCAGCTTCCCACCACGTACTGCCAAGGATACAGTAATATTAATTGCAGAGTAACCCAAAACAGAAGACAATGATAAGGGTTTTTTGGAAGTGGTGCCCTGAAAGTAGGTTTCCAATGACACTTTCAAAAGTGGCATGAAGTACAAAACCAAGCATTTTTTAAAGTTTAATTCATTCCAACTTCCATTAAATAAAAGAGTAATGCATTACTTCCCAGAGCTATGAGACTTTCAGAGCAAAGGCCAATAAACCTTAAGTGTGCTGTTTGTTCCCTGAGAATGTGAGCAACCTGCACTGAGAGTATAAAGCAGTTATCCTAACCCAGCTGTTTTATGATACTTACATTATATATACATACACATATACATGCGCATGCACACACACTAGATGGCATTTAACAATGGGAACAAAGTCAGTATTTGGAGCATGGAAAATGTTTCCTGGAACTGAAGTCTACTCAGCTAAAAACCTAAGTCTGTGTAATAAAAATAAAGATTTATACTAAGCCAAGCTGAGCAGAAAACTACCCACCTCTTGTGCTGATATTTGTCTGCCCTGGCCAAGGCCTTTCCTGTGCCACTTATTCTTCTTATCTGAGACAAAAATTTAGAAAAGAAAACAAATGACTCATAATGAAAACAATTGAGAACACAAACTCCACAGCCCTTGAAAAGAATTAAAACTGGGAAGATAGGCATGCAATGCCTGGCAAGAAACTAGATGCTCTCAGCTACAAATAAAGCTTAACACCACTTACTTTTGGGACAAAGGTAAAAGCAAAAAAAGCATATAATCTGGGTTTGGAAAAGCGGATACCAAGTGCACTGTGTTTCCACAGGGACTAGCAATAATCCAGGACATACTCCTGGAGTGCAGAGGCCTATTTTGCACTTTACTGGTGCCTTCACAGAACTTCTGACCTCTAGTTGGTGTACCCAATAAAGTTTAACAGGTCCACCACCTTGGGGCAGCATGCAACATTCCACCCAGAAGACAGTGATCTCTGCATGAGTACAATGCTTTGTACAGATATATGCAATACTAATGTGAAGCAAGGTGATTAGTGCTCAGTAGAGGTCTGCATGTCTTCTTTGGGCAAGAGCTGCACTGTTTATTGGCTCCAGAGGTATGAAGACTAAGTATGGTTGAGCACAATGGAAGATGCTTAGAGACAGGAGAAGCCAAGTGGGAAACATTTGATGAAAAGGTCCTCAAGCTCCAAGGAGCTTCCTTCTTTGAAATAAAAGATGCCACAGACCATCAAGCTGCCCTTTGCAGTTTGTTAATAGAGGAGTGATGCAGTGTAATGTAAGGGTGTCTCACTTCCTCTCTTGCTAAGAAATAAAGCTTTCCAATGCATCTAAGTATAGATAAAGAAAAGCTAAAACAAAGAAAAGAACAGGGTCCTCTTGAAATTCCCCCCCTGCTCCAGCCAGTACCTCAGGGTAAAACTTTACAAAGGAATATACTACAGTCTTACACAGGGAATACATTTGGAGTTTATCTGAAGAACCACAATCTGAACACAGGCAGCTTTAATGTAGTTATCCTTACAATCCTGGCATCCCAGACTCACCCCCTTCTCTTCTAACTGTCTCATTCTGGTCTCTACTTTTAATCTGCTCTCAGCTCCCAGTTCAGCACTGCTGTCCTCTCCAAGGGCATCATACCGAATAGACAAGGCTGTTTTGGCTGCTAGCATTCGAGAGATCTGGGGGGAAAAAAGAAGAGAAAGTTAAATGCTGAGACTGAACACTAGGTGATAATTCACTCTGCACGCGGATCTGGAAATCTTGCCAGAAAATAGAAGACTAGACTGCCCCTTAAGCAGGAGTGCTTTGTCCAAGAAAACACATGATACATACCATGTGACCTTTAACTTGTGAGCTGAGATCCCTGATAAGGTAATTGTGCATTTAAATGCTACGTTAGGACATACTGAATGCGGTAAACTGTTTCTAGTCAGGTTGTCTTGATCTGAATGAGGTGGATGGTGACCAATCTGCCTTTCAAATATGACACTGAATAACTTTTTCCACTACGTGAACACATCCTCCCCACTACTATATTATTAAAAACACCTTTAAATTCCTTGTGTCCTATAAATATAAGCAGCAAGCTCCAGTAAGAGTAGGAGTCTGATTTCAAGGATTTCCTCTGAAATCAAGGAAGCCTAATGCTCTCACCAGCTTATTTTATATTAAATTTCTTCGGTACTGTTTGTAACTCAGTTCTGATTATGACATAGTGGGAGTATCTACACATGCCCCTACAGTGCTGTTGTTACTGCGCCGTCATTTAGTACGAAATGATGGTGCAGCAACATCCCATACTGACCTGTGTGTATAGCGTGTGGTTATTTTTAGCTGCTACATCAGCCTAGTGATGCAATATACCGAGGGACTGTGTCATTATGGTAACGCATCTGCAGCATCATGGTTTTTCCCCATGGATGCTACGTCACACAGACGTGCCCACTGAAGGGAGGATCAAGGAGGGAGCACAGTGGTGCAGCTGCACCCTCCTTGGATTCTTGCTCCACCCAAACTTTAAAACCAATTGCCTGGGAGGGGTAGTGGCATTTTTATTCAGGCAGCAATGGAGTCAACTGAATTCATGGCTCATTATAATCTCCCCAATTCCTGCCTTTGGCTCTTCATTCCAGAGGTGTTGTTAATGACCGTCTATTCTTTTAAATGGTCTTAATGTTCCACTAATCAAGCTATCCTTTCATCTGCAATTTTGCTGCTTGCAATGTCACTATTCTATTTCACAGCCCTGTGGACTGTTTTGAGTACTAGCTAAAAACCTTAATTCAGGTGTAGAAATGACAGACAGCAAAGTATTGGAGGTGCAGTCAAGATGTTCAAGACAACTAGATTTTGTTTTACAAATTTGAACAGGAGATGTACATTTAATCATGATGACTACAGGACTAATGAACTCTTGACTTTTGACCATTTTTTGCCTAGTTTCCTGTGTTTTTTAAACTTAATACATAATCAAACAAATTAATGAACATTCCAATAAAGTTATATTTATTTTTGCTTTGATCTTAAGAGAGATAATACAGAGCTACACCCACAGCTCTTATTAGTAAAGCTTGTAGTTTCTCTAACTGGAGAAAAATGTGTGCTGTTTATATCTGATGATGCACCATACCATTTATACCTCCCTTTTCAAAATCCTAGATTCACACATGGACATACCCACCAGTAATATATCCATCACCATCATTACTCAGTCTTCCATACTGACAACCCAATTCCCTTTATTCCCACAAAAGAGGAATGAATGGCAGCTGAATGAACAAGCTGACCTGCAGGGGATGGTCTACTCATGAAAGAAGCTATAGCAACCCATGGAAAAATCCTCCTTAGAATTCTTAAATAGTTGATCCTTAATCTTTGGAGATATTCATCTATTCAGGGGGAAAAAAGCCAATTAACAAGATGAAACATCCCAGCAACTCACCTTTCCTTTGTTCTTGGGTGTTGTTTGACCCACAAGGGAAGCATGATAGATGAGGCCAAACTTGGGTGTGTCTCGCTTAGACTTCAAGGCCCGGAAGAGTGCTTTCTCAGCACCCAGAATCTGAACAGTGGAAGCTGGGTGTTTCGCCAGATTCAAAAGGGAACCTAGGGCAGAAAAAGTTACAGCATACTGGAATACAACCAGTCTAAAGAGGGAGACACACATGACAGACACTAAAATATGACTGAAAAATTGGTAGACAAATTTCAAGCTTTGATGGCCATGGTTTTCTGGGCTGATTTACAAGTCTCCTGAGAGGAGAAAATTCCACTGATCCTCTGCTCCTTAAACAAATTCTGTATTTCTGGGCTTGATGGGGGAGGAAAGATTATCTTAACACAAACCAGTCCACAGGATTAATGTTTTGTATTGACAACACTCTGCAGTAAGAATGCTGACACTAGCACTTTAGAAACGTGAGAGACAGATAACACAAGTCAATCTGTCTGACCACACAAACTTATACCCAACCTTCTAATATAATATTTTAACTCTGACATGACTGAACTGTTGGCAATAGGCTCAGAAAGCGTCTCAGAAGAGGTAGTGACTGAAGTTGCCCCTCATGTTTTCAAAAAAGATTCAGGCCAACTGAAACAGATATCATCACTGACAGCTTCTGTGCTCATGCCAACATCTTCTGCCTTTTCTTAAGAGACCTAACAGCAAAGTCCTACAATGCTTTCCACTGACCAGATCCTTAGCAAGAGCTGTTGCTTGACTCCTTTCTTGAAGCTAATTCATATCTAACTTACAAATGTTCTTGAATCAATATGTAGCAACCTACCTGCATGTGCAATAAGCCTTGCTCCAACCAATTCCCCAACCATGACAGTGAGGTTAGGTGCGATGGCCATCATTCTGTTCTTCAGATAGTCATACAGCTGTGTACGGTACTCTGAGATTTCAATCACCTGGTACAATCACACGGGAAAATCAGCAACAGGAAATAACAACAAACAAGCAACTGCACGAGCATTAGGACAGTGGTGTCAAACCTACCTGGCCCCCTGGGCTGGCTAAATTGTGTAGGGCTGGATTGGGCCCATAGACCCGACCCTCCCCCCCAATCCTCTTCCTCAGAAATAACTGATCTAGTGGCTTTCCCAGTCAGTCTGGGACCTGCACTGCAAATCCTGGGGCAGCTGTAAAGGGTGCTGCATGCAGGAAGGTCTGGCCAGAGCAGCAGCAACACTACATGCAGTAGTAGCCCCAGCCAGACTGTTCTGCAACTGGTGCCTGCTCTGGCAGCTCCAGGACTGCGCTGCATGTAGCACCTGCTCCAGCCAGTTTGGGACTCGCGTGTGCTTGCAAGTGCTTTGCTCAGCACAGGTCCTAGACTGGCTGGAGCAGGCACCATATGCAGAATGCATCCCAGAGCAGGCACCATGTGCAGTGCAGTCAGGCCACTCTAGAATCCATGCTGCACACACCATGGTTCCGAGACCAGCTAGAACTGTCACTGGATCAAGTATGCTGGCGGAGAGGGAGGGAGCCCATGGACCACATTTGGCCTGTGGACTAGTCCTGTGCCATGAGCATATACTGTGCCCTGGATGGGGTCTGATAAGAACCAGGGGGAGCATCAGGGGCCAGATGGCAGGGCTCCACAAGCCATATATATGACACCCCTGCATTAGGAACTCTGTCAAAAGCAAAAGAATGGAGGATTCTGATAAAAGAGGCTCTAGCTAAATTAAAGAACAGGTTGGGCCACACAACAAGGTATGAAATGCCCAGCAATTCAGGAAGGAGAGTTAGTGGAAAGCTTTATAGAAGCAACTTTACAAAAAGATCTACATGAATGACAGGCTGAAATCCTATACGCTAGGTTCTTTATACGACTCATTTTCTCATTAAAACTCCTGATAAAGGATACCTACTCAAACCCCCTAAAAAAGCATAAGGAACATGACCATGAGGAATTTAGAAAGAAGAAAACAGAAGGCATGTTTCCATATGAATGTTCCTGAATCTTATCTTTTCACATTCCCTCTCTTCTTTTTCACTTACTTGCTCATCTCTTCTCCCTGATATCAAACTCACCCTGAAGAATGATTTGATTAAAAAAATTAAAAGAGCAGGTAGTGCTGTCCAGAGAACCACAAACAGGACTACAAGCAAAGAGCTTACTACTATTAATCATCTCAACCTTTTCATCCCTTGAATTGACTTTGATACAGTAGTAAAAACACATATTAAAAACTTATTCCAGTGTCTTCCCAAATAATTCTGGAGGAATGTGGAGCAGGACATAAAACACAACAATTTCTCCAGAGGAAATGCTGTTTCACCTTTCACCCTGGTTATGCAGAAGTAGAGGGTAAATTACTCCAGAATAATTGTGTCATGCAACAGCACCCTAGACTACGAAGGGGGACTTAGCAATACTGAACTGAATTTTACATCAGACCTGAATTCGAGCAAGACTAGGACCTTGGCCTCTGTTTTCATCCTACAAAAATGGGACTACCATCACACTTTTGCAACGCATGATACTGTCAGTTGAAAAGTGGTGTATAACTAAAAATGTGGTAGTTTCTTCTATGGATCTTAAACCACTTTAAGAAATATTAAATTAATACTTCTGCCCCAAAATCACACCCAACAGACTCCAATTCATTTAGAAACGTCAGCAATCTAAGATGGCATCAGATGAGGTAGTGACTGTGCACCCTCATATCTGTACATCAGGAGAGCAACAGTATAGGTATCATCATTGCCATCAAAAAAGTGTAGTGAAATTGCTATAGAAAAATCTACAGAAGAGGGGCCCCTAGTATCACACACTTTAGATTCAAACTACAAATACGATGCTAAATATTGTCCATGCCTATGTACCTGCTCACAGAGATGCAGTATATTGCTTATGTCTTCTTCTGATACTTCTGTCCCCATGGAGATCTCTGCAGCAGCCTTCACATCCACCTCAATCTCCTCAGGCAGGATGTCAGAGAGGTCAGAGGAAGAAAAGTTTTTTCTGTCTCCTGCAGGGTGAGATTGATGCCAGGCAGAGAAGACGAACAAGTAAATAACAGAAGACAGGGAGTGTAAAAAGCCAAGATTCAAGAGCATCAATATAGAACCAAGCCTACCATATTTTTTTCTAAATTCATTGTGTTTAAAATCAGCAGGTAGACCAATGAAACAAGTTCAAATTGAAATGCCTACCTGTAATGATTTAATACATCCATTAACTTTGTAACTACCTTAAAAAGCTAGCAGATAGTGAAAGACTAAATTATCTTTCTGCCACAGAATTATGAAATGATTAGGAAGTGAACAAATGGCACCAGGATTAAAGATCACCCACAATGACATACTCCAGCATTTTAAGATATGGGCTCAAGCTCTAAACAAGGAGTGAGCAAAATATGGCTCGTGGACCACATCTGGCCCCCCAGGAGACTTCATCCAGCCTGTGGGCAGGTGCCCACCAATTAATTGTATCCTGCCCAGCTGGCAGCTGCCCCTCCTGCACTCACATGAGGCCCGAGCCCCACCCACTCCCGCTGGGGCAGAGCGCTGCGTTCCCACCCGTGTGCAGGGGAGAGCCCCGGCTAGCACACAGCTCCCTGGTGGGGCCACGGGATGGATCCCTGTTCAGCTTCCCTGGTTCCTCGTCATGGCCCTGCTGCAATGCTCTGGGCAGCAAGCAGGGAATCATTGAAGGGGGAAAGGAGACAGGGGCTCCTTATGGTTCATGTGCAGTTCCTGGGACCTGTGTACCACCAAGATGGGAACCAGGAGCAGGGCATGTCAAGGGGTGGGGCTACACTTGCAGGCCTCAACAGCTCACCAAAACTTAGTAAGCAGCCCTTCAGCTGAAATAATTGCCCACCCATGCTCTAGACCCACCAGACAAAAGGAAAATTCCAGGAAGAGTTAAGTCAGTTTACCACTAACCCATTCTACTTTATTTTACTCAGATACACTATATAAAAGTCTTTTAAAGCCACAAGTTTTTCTCTGTACAGCAAACCTGCCACACTGCTGTAACAATCAATAAAAAATGGTTACAAGTTGCAAAGCAAGTGTCCATAAGAGCAACCATTACTTCTGCTCCAAGGAATAAATATAACTAGCGGTGGTCTCAGTGAACACCCACAAAGAGCCAGCTCAGCTTTTATCTTGACATCAGTTTTACCTAGTTCATTCCCAAGGTGTGGTCTGTCAACTTACGTGATCTAAAGGGGACTTGCTGGTAGTCTGCAGAAAGCTGGCATTAACCCTTCCTTGTTTCTGTACCACTAAATTGCATCAAAATGGGAGTGGGGGGAAGGGAAGGAAAACTAAATAAAAGCCATTGCTTGAGTTGTCACTGGAGCAGATGCGATGAAGAACAGTCAGACTGGTGTACATAAGCAGCGAATAACAGGTTAGCGGATCCACATGGCACTATTACATTGTGGTCTGTACTAATGCTCAGCATTTGACCACACAAGACCAGCATTACTCACCGACTTTCTGCACACATTTACAGTATGTTAAGTTATCTGTAATGATCTTGCCCAGTTCAGGGAAGTGCCAGCCATACCATTCCCTACAACGCATGATATAGTTATTCAGCTCTTTATCCAGATCATCAAGAAGGGCTGCGGAGGACAAAACAACAGACATGGTTTAAAAAACCCAAAAAAACAGAGTTAAAGGAACATGGCAATTCAAGTCAATAGCTCTGAAGCTGCAAAGGAAATAGAGGCGTTTCACAGCACTTCTCTGATATGAAAAACTGCAATTTTAAGATTGGTCAACATTACTCAACAACTTTTAAATTACTTCAGAATCTTCCAGAAAAAACATATTTTAACCAGTCAAACTGCATGCAAAAAGCTATGCTAAAAGAACATTACTCAGGTTGCACTCAAATGTTTGGAAATGGTGGATTTGAAGCTGGACAGGCACATGCATAATAAAACTCTCCTTCGTGACATGATCTCACACTATTTCCACAGGACTCTTGCCTTATTCAACACAGAAGATGGGTGGTACTCCCTTCAACAAGCCAATAGTCAGTATTTTGTTTTCTTCTCATTCTTTGGTGTTTCCCCATATCTTAGCAGTATTCAATTTAAACCCTGCTCTGAAAAGAGTGTATAATTCTGTCCTTAAATGGCAGAGTGCCACAGAATAGCTGAGTGCTTCACAAGTAGTGCCTTAATTTCCCAACAAATCTATGAAGTGAGAGCAGACTACTACCCATTTTACAGATAGGTAATTTAATTTATGGTCAATTAATTTATGGTCAAAAACCAAGATCCACCAATTTTGGGATCCAATTTTGGAAGCATCTAGCACCTGATCTTTTTAAGCATATACAGCACTATACAGTATTTTACACAGTTCAAATAAAGCTTTAGTTGCAGTCAAGAGCACACCAGTGTTCTGCCAATGAGAATTTAAGGTCTGGATCCAGAGGACAGAAAATAAGAAATACCTACCCCTGATAGATAAAGAGTTTGGTTAAGGATCTTGACTAGCAACACAAAGCTTAAGCTGGTCACCGTAAAATCCAGTTTGCTAAGGAAGCATTTAACTACTTTAACCACGACACCATTTTTTTTCCTGCTTCGTTCACTGCATACCTTCCATCTTCTGCAACCAATGAGACAGTATGGGTTCTCTGGCCTCCTTACTACACAGCTCTAGTTCAAAGCTGGGCACTGTGCATCACAGAACACATGGATCCCATGGAATGAAACAGTGATGGCTGTTAAAACTGCACTGACAGCTGTAATTCTGGCCTGTCCCAACTCCTTACCGCTTGTTTTTGCAACCTTAATAATGTTGATTCAATGTAATTTTTGTTATTTAATTTACTAGATTTTTAACTAGCACACTGAAAGTACAAGAATGACATCAGGTGACAAATATTGCAACCTGCTGGCCATCCAGTACAAATATCTTAGCCAATTGAAAGAGCAGAGCAACCAAGTTCACATGCTGTCAACAGCAAAGGGAAGTGGGGCACACACTTAACCAGAGTTTCAATTAGACTGTTCCTTTGATGTCAACAAGGATTTGAACCCTAGGCTCTATTCTATGCTCTAGAGAGGAAAGAGAGCTCTAGCGAATCAAGTATTTATTGCCTGCAACAGCTCTACCGAGTACATGGAAAATGCATTTTTTCAAAGTCTTAAAACTGGCAACATTTGGGTGGATTTTCTTTGGTATAGCAGAAGTTACCAGTGACATGAAGAATCATCTTCCTGCCAAATTCTGCATGCCAAGTCCAACCCAAAAAGCAGTAAACTACTCAAAAGAAACAAAAGGATTATCAGAACCTTCTCAAGTGAGGGAAGGGAAAAAATCTCCAATATTTTTCACTGGCTTCATCTCAGGGAGGGCCAATAGTTCATCCTAAGTAGTATGTTTGGCAAAATTTTAAGCAACTGAAAACAATCAAGCACATTTAAAGGTGGGGCTGCCATGCCTGCCAAGGTAAGATGTCAGTTTGTGAAAAGGAAGCTGAAATTGTAGGAACAAGGAAAAATTCCCAATAATTACTTCATTTGCTTTTCATCTTCAGATAAATTATACTGCTGGAACCAGGTATTTTTTTCCAAGATTAATTTTATTGGGCAATGTGCACTACACTGTTACACACAAAGCTACTCTGAAAGACATTTTGAAAAGTTTAACTGGTGTCAATGGGCTTGGCACACTTCACCTAGAAAGAGTTCCATTTAAATGTGCAAACGGGAATTCAGAATTATGAACTGCATTCTATTCTTAGCCTGTCCTGCTGCGCTTTGGTTTTATACTTCTGAGAACAAATGATCACCAAGATAATAATTTTTATTACTTTTTAATCACAAGGGCTCGGTGGTGGTAGAGTGATGTTGTAGTTGTGATAATCAAAAGAACTATGCAAGAGGCAAGGATTTTTGTGGAAAGAAACTTTTGAATAGAAGGCAGGTAGGTGACCTAATGCAGAATGTCTTGCATTAGAAAGCTTGTCTAATTATCCCAACCATGCAGTTTGTCCAATACCACCCACAAAAATCCTTGCCTATCGCAGGGGCTCGTCATGCAAATGACAGGTTTTTTCTATGTAGGCTACAATGCATCTCCCCATTGGTGGTAGTGGCAGCATTGAAAATTTTGCTCCTTCTTTCCTTATCTGGCAACTGTCAGGCAGGCAATCAAGAGGATAGACTAGAACCGCCTCAGGTGTAAACTGTAACAATCTAATTGCTTTGAAAAAAAAAAAAAAAAAAAAGGATACAATTGCCAATAGCTACCCTTTTCCACTACTTGATATATAAATTATACTGGCACCTTGAAGCTCAGAGGAGGACTTGGGCCTCTCTTATGTAAGATACTGTACAACCAGACATAGATACAAACAGTGGAGGGGTATCATACAATGTTCAAGTTGCTATAAATCAGGGGTGGGAAAAGTTTGGCCTGCAGGCCAGATCTAGCCAGTAGTAGACTCTATTTCCCAGCAGCCCCTGTCCACATGACTGAGGCAGGCTTCCATGAAGACCCCAGCAGTAACCACTCTGCTATAGTGCAGGGCCTGGGTTTCCATGGAGACCAACCCCAGCAGTGCTGGCAGGCAGCTTTTCGGGGGGGGGCCGTGCTGCGGGCAAAACAGGGTGGGCAGCGGTGGCGCCACTGGAAGAGGTGGCTATGGGGAATTTTGGGGTGACTATAGCCCCCCCCCAAACCCTCCCTCCAATGCTGCCCCTGATGGCAGGGTGCAAAGCTGTTCTGCAGTCGGGCTGGGATCTTGGAGCAGTGACAGTGTGGTCCAGAGCTGGGGTGTGCAGTCATGATCTGCAGCCTGTATGCCCCAGGCAGGGGTGTGCAGGCTGAAGATCACAGCTCTGTCCCAGGTCTAGACCATGCTGTCACCGCTGCAAGATCCTAGTCCAGCTGCAGAGGAGCTCCACACCCTGGCCAGCACTGCTGGGGCCAGTCTCCATGGAAACCCTGGCCCCACACTATCGCAGTGCAGCTGCTGGTGGGGCTTTCATGGAAACTAGCCCCAGCCATGTAAGCAGGGGCTCCTGGGAAATGGAATCTGGCTGCCAGCCAGATTTACCATTTTGCCCACCCCTGCTATAAATGAACAGTAAACTATTTCCAGGCATTTGCTTGGCTTCAATGAGCCGTGTTCCAGATTAAATTCAAGTCACAATTTGTGTCCAAGGTCAGCAAGAAAAGATCACAAAAGCTTCAAAAATGTAATTATGAAAGTAAGAGCCAATAAAATACTTAGCTGTCAAGATGCCAGGTTTAAGTCCATAGCGGGGGAAAAAAGTTTTTAGCTGTGATGACTGAGTCATGTGAACTGATTTAAAATGGCAACAAAAAAGAACTAAAGCAACAGACTCCCTTCTCCATGTAGTGTCTCTTCAGTTAGCAGATGAGTTATATTCTTATTTACATTACAACAACGTAAAACACCTACTGCATATATTCCACCTAAGCCCCAAGGCTACAGCATTTTCTTTTAATTCAACACCAGCATTCCCATGTGTTGTCTCAGTGGTAGTGACGAAAGGCTGAATAACATCATTATTTTCAGTTGAACAAGATTCCATCATTGACAACAGTATGGGTTTTGAAGTGCCAAACAGTTTCATTCAACACTGCTTGACAATGGATACTTGTTTCATGGATAAAGGACCATGGCTCCCAATACTACTCAACTTGTACTTTTGCAAGCAAAAACCTTAGCTTAGTTGAGGCAAAATGCCCAGGTGTACTATGTTAGTAGAAATTAATACATTAACATGATATGTAGCTGTCCTCAACAGAATCCTGAAACATTTAAAACCCAAATGTACTCACAGATTGCCTGGACGATCATTGTATCCACTTTGTCTGGACTGAATTTCAACTTGTATCGGGAGAGGCTGAGAACAAAGCAACATTTATTAATTGCATCCTTTACTGCACTGGCATTCCATTAAGGAGACCATATATTTTCCACCTGTTTAATTTTGAATGAATGAGTCTAGCTGTAAACTGATTCACACTTGCTTAATTTTATACCTTGGATTGGCCTCTGCTGTGCAATGCAAGAAGCTTGGAGAAGAACTGCTGCTATCTGCTCCCACAACAGCTGCTGCATACACACAACAGCCACTGTGGATGGCAGAACCAAGCCTGCCTGTACTATGCATGACAGCGGCAACAAATTTGTTGGCTATCTGTTCCTGCAAATGTTGTCACAAAAATTAACTGACAGCGCTATATCCTATTCTGCAACAGCTTGGCTCTATCCACAAGAAAAGGTCTGCACAGTAGTGAAACTAAAAAAGTATGACTGAGGCATTCCAAGACAAAATCAACATCTAAACTTGTGAGTTACTCTGTAGAAGCCCTCTCCACCACTAATCATGGTTTTCTCTGTTAAAAATCCAAAATTCTCTGATAACACCCCCGTCTACTTTTCTGTGATTAAAATGAAATGCCACTATAGAGATATCAGTAAAACCATTGTGTTCAACTGATATATTCACAATTTTAAAGTGATTTGGAAGTCTACCAGTGCCTCTTCAATCATTACAATACAATAAATTCTAAATACCTATATTTTGGCACTTGATTTTCTATTTTTTAATCATGAAAAAAACAGAGCTCTGCCTCCCCCCCTTCATTCACCAGGATGCGGGCCTAGCTGTGACTGTCTCCCCCACTGTTTTGTGGTGTTGAGTAGCCCTGGTATACTGTTGCCCCTCACTCCAGACTCAGAGTCCCCCATCCCCTCCAGCCTAACACGCTGCCCTCAGCATGGGAGGGTGGAACGGGGTGGGGAAGCTCGAAGCTGCCACTGCCACCAGAAGCTCCTTGCCTGACAGGGTGAGGTGTCCCCTGCCCACACACCAACGGTGCACAACTTTAAATGGACAACTTTAAAGGACCATTAATACATTAAAGGCAGAGTTCTTGCAGAGCTGTAGTTTTGCACAGAGAATTACAGGTGACACAGGGTATCTGCTTCAGTTTAAATTTTGAAATGAAACTAATTACCTCTCTCACTGAACCATGGATTTTCCCTTCTAAAGAAGAAAGCCAACTTTTTTCTCCTCTAAAGGAGAAAACTCATATTTTTCCACAGGAAATGTGTAATAGGCTGGGCTTTTAGGGTTGGGTCTCAGTACTGGCCGCCTGCTTGTTCAGGGCTAAACCTCTGCCTTGCTCGCCTGCCATGCCTTGATGAAAAATAATAGGATTACAGGAGGCTGCCCATTGCTCACCCTTGATGCCAAGGGCCCTGGTACATGCTCCAACCTTCCCTTACACGTCCCATGCCTTGCTGATATTGATTTTCACATCCAGTCTTCCCATATTACCAGTGATCACATCCAGTATTTCCCTACTTCACAATTCAGTAATTCTGCCCCTCACTAGGGCCACTCATCTTGACTGCCCTCAACTGGACCACTTCACTATCGCTCGGCCCCACTCTGGACCTTCTGTCCCTTCCTAGGGCCACACAGCCTCACTCCAGGCCGCTTCTGTTGCTCAGCCCCTCTGGGCTGCTTCACTGTCACCCTCCTCACTGAGGCCACTTGCGTTTTGCACCCTGTGAGGATCAGGTGGCTGCCGCCATGCCTGGCCCCACTGCTCTGGGCTCAGGTGTGCCCCTCTGGGTTTGCTTGGCCCAGGTCTCTTCCCTTGTCGGTAACCCGCCCATAGGCAGGGGCTGAGGTTTTCAGGAGCCCCTCCTTGCCTTTCACCAGGGAGATAACTGGCCTGGCATGGCCTGGCATTTCCTGGGGACTCCGCCACCACAGGGAGTCCCACCAGGCCACCCTTCCCCGGCAGAGTGCAGTTTCAGGTCAGGACCCTCCAAACCATCCCCATAACTCCTGCCCTTACCTCCAAGGTCTTCCAGGAGCAGCTCAGACTGCTCTCTCTCTCGCTCTCTCGGCCTGGGTTAAAATGGAGGCTGTTCCACCCCCTCAGCCAAACCCAGGGTCGTGTGCTAGCCTTGATGAAGCTAGCACCCACCTGCCAGCTGCTCCACTGCCAAGTACAAACCTTCAAGTGTCAGGCACTGCAGGTGTCCTGCCACAAAATGGAAAACCCAGATCTCTGCTCATCACATATTTGGGTTATGTGGAAAAAAAAATCAACTGAAGCAGATAGATACTAGGTCTGTTCGAGCCAGCAGCGATCCGATCTGGAGTTCTGGACCAGGTTTCCACCTCCATCTGGACGAACTTTCGGAGCCACGTCGGAAATCCGGCCATAGGGTATAATGGGGGAATCAATTAAATATCTAGAACTTTGTTGTTTTTGTCCGATTTGAATGAAACTTGCAGGGATGGTAGCCTCTGCTGAGAGCATGAAGCCTGCCAAGTCTCAAGAAGATCAGTGCAGAGGTTTGGGGGGAACTGTACCCCAAATTCTTGAAAGCCAAACTCATGTCACAGCTGTGTGTTACACCACAGGGGGGTCAAAGCTGCAGGGCTGGTAGCTCTTACTGAGGCCACAAAGCCTGCCACGTTTCAAGGAGATCTGTGCAGGGGTTTGAGGGGAACTGCACCTCAAACTGCAGACAAGCAAATCTCGTGCCATGGGTGACCGTGTGTGTGTTAAGGCATAGCGGGGTGACAGCTGCAGGGGTGGTGGCCCTGCTGTGACGCCTGCCAGCTGTGGAGGACATCGGTGCAGGGGGGTTCTGGGGCCCTGCACCCCTAGCTGCTGACAGCCAAACCACTTGCCAAGATTGTGTCCATCTTGGGGCAGCTGACTGTCTGTACTGATTCCTTCCTCTCCTTAGCCTGGTTTTGTAGGTGCTATTTGATGCTTGTTAAGTCGTTATGTAGTAGCTAGGTCCTGTGTACTGAGCTGGTCCCCAAGTGAATCATGACTGATTGATTGGTAACTGGTAACACAGCAGCTTAGCAGCCAGGCCTGCAGCAATGTCTCCCCTCCCCACCCCAAGACACAGTCAGTCCCACAAGCCCCCATGGCACCAGTTTTGCTTGTCTGCAGCTTGAGGGGCAGTTCCTCCCAAACCCCTGCACTGACCTTGAAACTTGGCAGGCTTTGTGGTCTCAGCATAGGCTACCACCCCTGCAGTTTTCACCCCACTATGTTGTAACGCCTAGACGTGACAAGAGTTTTGTTTTCAAGAATTTGGGGTGCTGTTCCACCCCCAAACCCCTGTACCAATCTTCTTGAAACTTGGCAGGATTTATCCACTCTGCAGAGTCTACCACCCCTGAAAATTTTATCCAAATCGGACAAAAAACAATTAAGTTATAGGTATTTTATTGTTTCCCCATTATACCCTATGACCAGATCTCAGAGGTTGCTCCGAGGCGGCTCCAAACCACTTCGGGAAGCCTAATGAGGCCAGCGCTTTGGCCCCGATGTGCTGCTTCAGATCCTGAAGTGTCGGAAGCTTCTCCACATCCGAAGCCTCACACAGCCCTAATAGATAACCTGTGCCACCTGTAATTCTCTGTGTAAAACTACACAGCTCTGCAAGAACTCTGCAGAAAATCATACAAATTAAAAGAAGATACTTTGGGTTAAGCCTAAACAAATATGTATGGGCCATGTATACAACCATGGGCAATAATCACCATTAATGGCACAAGCACTTGCTTCCAGAGCACAACCTTATATATCAATGGGCTTATATTTAGGATCAAATCCCATGCTCATCCCATACCCAAGTTTCACTAATATCTAAGGAAGCTTTGGGTACACAAAGATGTAGAAGTGGGGCAAAGATGGTAGAAGGAAGCAAAAATTGCCACTACTGGCAACTCACCTGTGTGCCAATCCTAGGCACATTGCTGCCATTTCCCGTGAAGGAAGGCCTGTGATAAGCCCCTCAATTTGTGAACGTATGCCCCTCATCAACTCTGTAACCATTGGACTATGGATACAACTTAAGTTCAGTTTGTCCTAAAGAATGAAGAATAGGAATTAACCAAATGAAATCCTGTTAAAAGATTTTCCCTTTGAGCAACATTAGATTCTTACAGTTGTTCCCCTACTGGAGTACACTGGTTACCCAACTACGCAACAATTTCTCTGACATCAGAGACAGCAAATAAACAACAAACATTAACATTCCCAGCCCTGTATGTGCCAATGCCTCAGTAGTTACCAAATTTTCTGGACAAGTGGTGGCCCCTTAAATTACCTGGGAATCATCATGTGCCCTTCTCAAACTTCACTGAAAACACTAGAAAGGGAAGCAGGGCCCAGTGCAATCACAGACTAATTACCATGGCCTTGGAGACCATCAGCAGTTGTGGAGCAGTTTAAAAATACTTTCCCTTCCTCACCTCAAGATCAGATTCCAGGAACAAGATCTATGACCAAGGTCTTAGGTATTCTGCAGATACCCAGAATACTGTAGCCGATTAGAAATTTTGTGGCAAGTTATAAAAGAAATCAAAGGGATTTAATTTTTAATGGATTATGAACACTTTATTTCAGTATTCCTTGTGTCACTTGATTCACTGCCTACAATGCATGCTAATTTTCAGTTTCTACAGATTTTTGTTTTGACAATTTGTGGAACTGTTGAAAACCAGAATAGATCAGATAGCAAGCACAAGGCTTGGGCATCAGGGTTTGCTGCTCAGTAAGGCACGAGACAGTCTGAGGATCCAACACCAAGAATTTTAGAACCAGGAAACCAGTGCATCTCCCTTTACTTCTTCCATTTTGTGGGCAAGGATTGGAGAACATATGATATATTTAGCAGTTAGGTAAGGAGGTGAACTCCCAGTAGACCTTGCCATAGCTAATCAACAATGAACAGTGTAAATATCCAGGCTAATGTTCTTAAAGGATAAACAGAAAAATAGTTCATATTGACATTTGCTAGATTAATGAGTTGAAACCATAATACAATGGCAAGTTCACTCACATCAGTCCATTTCCAGGCTACTCATTCACACACAAGAAAACAATGTCTTATCCGTCTAAATTCAGTTCACACATGGAAGTTTCTCTCTCCAAACAGGCTAGAATTTTCTTTAAACCAAAACCTAGCATCTGTAGCACATTACATGGCTACATTATTGCCAAACACAAGGGTCCTGTTCATAAGATCTCAGTAGCACAAAAAAGGAATAGTACAATAAAGCCAATTTTCACCTTTATGACACCTCCAAGTTTGGCATCTGCTATAGCCAGTTGCTCATGGGCATCTTTTGCTACTATCTTCTTCAGAATTTTCTTCAAGTTCTTGCTGAGTTTGCCTTCTACCAGAGCTGTGGATGCTGTAGAAGGGGAAAAACGTACAAAGATGCAACAACAACAGCTTTCTAAAATCTGTTAAGAATAAGTAATGAAAAAAAAAATCTCAGATACAACTTGACACATTCCCATTCACCCTACTGCAAAACACAACAATCAAAATCTCAGCTGTAATGATTTTTGCCCTGTGGTGGCTTAAATGGAACGAAGAAAAATAAAGTAAGATGCTTGCATGGCTGTACTTTAATTCAAGAATAGTATTCCCCCACATCCTTATACTATCTATATAAAAAATCATGCTTACATTCCAATTCTGCCAAAAGTTTGTTAAAGGGATTCTACAAACACTTCCAATATACTCTAGCTAGATCATGAATATTCAACGAAACCAGTCTGGGGTATCAGCATGTAATTTAATTGCCCAAATCCTTTCCTGCTCTTTAAAGTCATGGTCATAAACTCCCATTACATAAGATCTCAGTTAAAATTTTTGCTGCTTAATGTTGCATCCTCCATGAGAGTTTACTGAAGCGTGAAGTTTAATTGTGGTAGAGCAGGAAACAATCAGATATAGACCTTCTTAATGTATGTTGGGTTGATTTGAAAATGAAAGGCTTTTTTAAAACTCTACAAACATTAATAGAACTGTAAAAGCTTGACAATCCCACACTATATACTTTAAGAAGGCACTTACACAACTCCCTTGACAGGTGAGCTCCATGCTCCAGTGAAGTTCTTTGGTTGATGTGACACCCCCAACATAACTCATAGAAAAGTTAATGTTCCGTGATTTCAAAAAACCTTAAAGGAACAGAATAAAATCGAACTGCTTTGATCAATGTCCCCCTGACCAGTGCTATTTGGGATACTGGCAGTGCAGCTTTTAAGCTGACCAGCAATTCTTAATGCACTTAATAATATTTAAGCAGTGCTTAACTGCATATATAATATACCTAAAAAGCAGTTTACAAACTGAATGCTAACAATATTTCTGTGAGATAGATAAAACAAGTATCCTTTATTTCACAAAAGTAAAAAAACTGGAAAAGAGGAAGTGGATAAATTGTGCAAGTCAGTCTGTAGCAGACTAAATGATCGGAACCCTAGGACTGCTGGTACCATTCTGGATTAGGTACATCCAACTTACCCCGCCCAAACTTTTGGGGGCTGGATCCAGATGCAATGGCGATTGTGGAGGTTAATGCAGCTATCATTCAACACCCTCTTCAGGTCCCCACCCCGCAGCATAGCCTCCTGACTGGCTTCTATACCCTGCCCCAAATTCCAGACCTCTCTGAGCTCCATGCATAGCAAGTTCAACACCTCTGCTCTAGATAGTCTGCAGAAGGATACGCAGGAAAAAAAAAGCAACTTGAGCTTCTTATTTCCTTGCATCCCAAGTGTAAAGGCTTTTTAATATACTTCCCTTGGTTTATTTTTTTAAACTTATCCCAACTACTCCAGGGCAGTGAGACTCACTGCCAGATATGCCATTTAATCATCAAAACATTTATCAACTGAATTTACATAGCACCACATACTATTCAAACAAAAGTCAGGCCACAACTAAATGATCGTTTAGCCTGTGTTCTTTCAGGACTTGATTATGCAGTGTCTGTAATATAAAATTCCCCAATTACTAAGAAACAACGAAGTGCCAGAATTTGCGCGTGGCTACAAATAATTTCAGAATGCAACTACCTGAAGAGAATTAAGTATTTTATACACTAGCCTAACCTGTACAAAATTTACTCCCCTAACACAATGACATAGAAGTCCTATTATATTTAGGACAGTATTTATCTGTTGTCTCAGTGGTAGTGACGAAATGTTGAACCAAATCATTTAGAATCAGTTGCAACAATAATGCATCATTAACAACAGAGTATAGAAGAACACACGGAACATAGTTATCCAAATGTTCTTTCATTGCTTGTCTGTGTGCTGCCTGGGCAATTGACATTGGAGCAAAAACTAGACTTCAGTATTGTTTATCTAGCTCCCAGAGGCTTGAGACTGGCCTCATAAAACACAAAAAGAAGAAACAGACTATTTTCTAAAGAGTTGCAACTTAAAATTAAACCTAGACAACATAAGGGGATAAGAGGAAGAATACCTAATGGGCATTTATTTAAAAAGAACCCACTGAAAAGATCACAGTCAATTCTCTTATCTGTACTTACCAGCAAGTGCTTCTGTTGTATCCTGAAACTTTTCAAAATGTTTCAGCTTCACTCTAGATCAAAAAAAAAAGTTATTTTAATATTATAGTTGACAGACTAGTCTGTATTTAAACAAGCTGCATCATCTTTCCTATCCTATGCATCATAAAAGAAATGGATGATGTATCAACTTCCCTGATTCCCATCAAATATGTGGGATCCTACCTCCTTCTAAAAGCACAGGAGGTAGAAGTCTGAGTTTTGCCATCTCCCAACCACCAATTAAGGTGGAAGGGGTGCTCAGTCTTGACCTTCCTGATCAAGCTTCAGACTCGTATGTTTTCATCACCCAGGTCTCTCCAAACAACGTCCTCAGATCTCCAAATAAGAGACCTGCGATCAAACATTTTTATTGGAAAATCACAAGGAAGCAGGGGGGAGGGAAGGTGGGGGGGAGAAAAACCTGAAGCTGTGCTTTCTATTTGATAGTTCACAACGAAAGACAGGCACCAACGATTTAATTGCAACACTGGTCTTTAATTAACTTGCACCCTCATTGTTGACTGACAAGTGACATTTCCTATCTCCCTAACTTTGACACCGAATACTCTGCCTCTAGAGCAATTTAAGTATCAGGTGGCAAAGACAATGTAAATTCTGACTGGGTTTATTTTCACCAAAAGATTTTAAGCATGAACTACATTTTCACACACGGATGTCCCAACTCTTCCCAGCAAAATAGATGTTTGAATGTATTTTCAAACTTATAGCTCAAAACTGGGGACACACTTTGAGTTGGAAAAGATTTCCTATCTTCTCATCCATTTACTCAACCCAAGCAACATATGAACAACAGTTCTTAGCTAAATTACCTCTTGTTAACTCCCCAGATTCAACCTCCTCTCCCTGCTCCTATAATCATCTTCCTCTTCAGTATCTACAGAATTGCAGTTAAGAAGCCATCTCGACCCAGAACAATTTTATCAGGGCTCTAAGCCAGTTGTGATTAAACACTGTTCTTTCTGAGGCAGATATCCACAACAGAAGCAAGGTCATACCCTCTAGAGTAACACTTGCATCAGCTCAAGGCTTATGCTAATGCTCTCTCAGGAACATAAAAAAAGACTGAAATCCTTAGTGGATCAGACCTAAGGGCCATCTAAGGCAGCAAGGGATGTGGTGATAGCTCAGTGGATAAAACTGCTTTCTGACTTCAGAGGATCTCCTAGCTGGAAATATAGCAGATCTGATTAACGAATGGGCACCTGAAGACCTGGTCGGTCTGTTCAGGGCTGAAAACCCCAGAAGCCCCAGCACCTGCTCTGTTAAATTGATATTCACTATTGGTATCAGCAATGACACTTCAGGGAGCTTCCAGTTCACTGCAAGTGTGATAGGATCTAAAACCAAACAACTAAAGAAAATTTATTGAGAAGCAGAAACCTGGCTTTTTGGTCAGCTCCAACTATAATGTTGGATATTGTTATCTGTATAAATATCTGCTCCCTTTTGGAACACTGTTAAGTCCTAGGCCTCAGCTCCTCCAAGCGGCAGCAAGTTCCACAGTTTATTACATGTTGTTGGGAAAAGTATTGCTTTTTATGGGTTTTGAATTTTTGCACTTATTTTCTCATACACCCACACGGTCTTGTTTCAGATCATTTCTCTCACACTGAAGAACCTCAGACAATACTGGAGAATATAATAAGATCTGCCCCACAAATCTCAGATGTGCAGACTTGTTTTTCCAAAGCCAGGATGCTACTGCCTCATGGAAGTGCTTACATTTTGTTTGCTTTTTCAGGAGTTTCAAATTCTTTCCATAAGCTGTCAACTTCTTGGAGCTTCTTCTCATCCAGGACCTGCAAATAAAACAATTCTATTATAAACTGATTTTTTTTTCAGACTTTGGGATCAGCATTCATTATAGAAGCCCTTTTCCTGTGCCTAAAAGCTATTATTAATGGAGTAAATAATAATTTTCATTGCTGATAAAGGTTGGGCCCCCTCTCAACTAGAATGTTAAAGCAATTTGATTTTCTTAAAAAAAACCCCCAAAAAACTAGACTCAGTTCAGTCTCTTTTTGGCAAAGCCTTCTACCCAATGTTCTGGAAACAAACTGTCTACAGATTCATGAATACTGGAACTCAAACCAAGTTGTCTTCATAACAAGATAGGCCATTTTTAATAACATCTCTTCCTCTTAACAGCATAATATAGATGTTAACACAACACCCAATCTGATTTCTGAAAGCACTTGATTTAGGTAACCAATACCTCAGTTTAGTTTTGTACAAAAAAGAATTCCTCTGCCCTTTTACTACAAGAAAACTGCATTAAATATCTGTAAGCTCGCTTAATTTGTAGCATGCTGTCAATTCCTATACCACCACTATGGATCACAGCACTGTTTATTTTTTCAAAAATTATCAAAATACAACTCCTTAACATACTGTTTAAAACCTCTTGAGGTTTGTCCCCACAACTAAAATACAGAATAACTACAACTGTCAACTACAACTTGATTAATCAAGTCTACTGGAGCATGTTAATTTGCACGCTCCAGCAGTCTTGCCGTCACATGTATTCAGTGCCCCCGTGCTCTTTGAAGTGCCCACTCCTCCCACCCTGAGCATGTGTAAAGATGCCCAGAGTCTGTGATCTTTCTTACAGACATACAAAGAGGTAGCAATAACACAATGACAACCTAAAAAAGGAAGCAGCAGCCACCAGGAGAAAATTCAATAAAATCCAAATTAGAGGCAACTCAGGGATTAGTTGGAGAAGCTTTGTAGAGCTACAATTGTGATGCAGGGTGAACTGGATGCTTCTCTACCTGACCCCTGTGAGATCTCATAGGAAAGCAATAAATAACCCTGAGCCCAGCCTCACTTCACAGCTGCACTCTCTGGAGTGACTCATTGGATACCAGGGGTTTTCTTGCCACAGGTGGTGTCAGCAGTCAGGTGGAAAATGAATGTGATCTGTTGATTTAATGGAAGCTAAGTAAAAGTACAGGGGTAGGTGGCATCATGTGTATAAGTCACCAATCCTATATTGCCTTACTTTCAGAAGTTTCAGCTTTGCCAAACTCTTGAGATATCACAAGGGACCATACTTCTGCATTAACAGTTGTTTTAGTAACTATTTTTTCTAGATTTATTTTTAATGATATATATTTATTATAGAAACTGTCATTTATTGAGATGTAACTATCACACAGGTTTGTAGTTGAGGCACTAACACAACTAGGTAAAGGATACTCCGCAGTTCAAGTCCTCCTGACTATCCTAATGCTTTGTTCTGACAATGTGGGTGGGCATTGTAGTCACACACTGGGATGCTTGAACTGTGCCACTAACTAACAAAGCCAAGAAAAGAAACTGTTTTGTCATATTAAAAAAAATTTGACCAGTACCACTAGGCCATACTTCTCAAGCCACAAAAGTCTTTTTGCTCGCAGTTCTTTGTAGAACAGGTTAGCATTTTTTTAACTACATTAATTGCACTGTGTAAAGTACATGATCATGCATTAGGGCTCCTCTGTTATAACTCTGTCCAACAACCCTGTAGGGCAGCATTTCTCAACCTGTGGGTTGCAACCCAGAAACGGGTCACAAGAATATATGAAAGGGTTGCAAACAAACCTTAAAAATGGAATCTCCTTTAAAGGAGAAAAATGTGGGAAACCATGGTTTTTTTCCCCCTTGCAGGCTGGCGCACTCACCCACCTCCTGCCTCACACATGGGGGCGGGGGGCTGGGGCCGGGAGGCAGAGGGCAGCTGGTTGGGCTTGAGGGGCACCGGCAGGGCCAGGGGGCTGTTTTCTACTTATTTACTGGCTTAGGATTGGCCATTGATGTTTACAAAGGAGTCTTAGTACAAAAAAGGTTAAGAACCCCTGCTCTAGGGTGTGCTATTCCACCCCCCCTCCCCCCAGCTCTTAAACAGGAATACTTGTACTGCAGTTCACATGAGAGCATATATGCTGCTGTGGCTCCTTGGCTAATACTGACAGCTTGCATAGCTCCTGAATCATGAGTTCTTGAGTGTTATAAAATGGTAGTTACACTTGCTTTAAGCAGAAGATTGACATGCTTTATTTTCTCTGCTTGTGCACACTCTGCCCCATCCCCCCTGCAGCAATTTCTTTTGACAGGTCAGCCTCCTCCCCTTTCCATCTATATTAAACCACTAGAAAGAAAAAATCTGGCTCCCTCTGCTGCCTCCTACAGATATCAAAGACAACATCTTACCGGAAGGGCACACACACATACACTTCCTTGGTTGCACAGCTCAAGCATAAAACCAAGCCTTGAATCTCCACCAGGTCCCTTAAGATGAACTCTACCTCTGATCCCAGTTTCAAAAAGCCTTTTCACTCTCTCCAGACAATTCCCCCCACTATAAGCCAGCATGACACAAACCGTATAACTGTACTGTCTCGCAAACAGAAATTTATATCTGAGCTAAGACACCATGGATACTGTCACTCATGAGGGAGGATGGAGTAGGGGTGGAAAGAGAGGCCAGATCTTAAGCAGCAGGCTTGCAACAACTTGTAGAACTCAACTCTTTGCTGAAAACAGTCAAATATGTCACAGCAGGTGCTATGAACTGGCTAGGCTAAGCGTTGAATAATCAAGACTCCCAAGGTCCCAATCAGAGCCGCTGTCCAGTTTCCTAGGTGTGTGCACCCCCCCATAACAACAGAACAAAACACAAAACCCCCTAACCACAAATGTCAACTTGAAAAAAAGTGTGCTTTTTCTAGGGGTGCACCAATAGAGATTTTTGGGCTGATACTGATAGCCAATATTTAAGTAGGCATATCCGCTGATACAATTTCCAATACAGCTGCCTCCAGCTGGTCAGTCCAGTATGGTGGAAGAGGGGGAGAGAAAGGGAGGGGTGTGTGTGGGGGCATAGATCAATGGCCCCCATGGTGAGGGAGGGGGCAGGGGCTGCCCAGGCAAGGCAGGGGCACACCAGAGCTGCAGCTCATTCCGAGTCGGCCGGTTGGGGGGGGGCCGGGGGGGGGGGGGACGGGGGGACGGACACGACACGCAGCTCCTGCTTGCACCCTGGGAGGGTGTGGCATGGGCCCCCCAGATCCACGCAGGGGCTCTTCTTGGCGGGGGCTGAACTCTGAGTGGGCACCGGCAGCGCTGGGAGGATGCTGCATCTATTGCAAATTTTGCTGCCGCTCCGCTCCCAGTGCCACTGACACCAGCCATAGCCCTGGCTCTTCCCTGCACATGGGTGGAGGCGAGGTGTTGGGGCGGGGCTGTGCCAGGCAGCTGGCAAAATTTGGGGTGGATGCAGCATCCTGCCAGTGCCGCCAGCACCTGCTCCAAGCCCAGCCCCCCTTCCACCACACTGGACTTTCCAGCTGGAGGCAGTTCTCCACGCTGAGGGCTCTGCTCCTCGCTGCCTGAGTGCTGTTCTGCGGCTGCGAGCAGCACGGGCATTTATCAGCCAAGTTATCGACCCCATCAGGCCAATATCCAATAAAGTACCGATCCGATATCAGACTGATGTATCGGTGCACCTCTAGTTTTTTTCCTCTGAGAACACTTCATCTTATTCAAATGGCTTACAGTTTGGATCAGCATGGGCATATATCTACACTACCTCTGTGACAAACCTGGGAGTCCTGCTAAAGAGGATTACCTATCCACTTGCTCTCACTCACCATGCACCAAAGACCAGAAATTATGGCAAGCATAGCTGTGTTAACAGAGCCCGGAGAATAAGCCCAGAGCTGCTTTCAGGTTCTGTCTTGGAGGAGCTTCTTGGCTTATGCTCATGCAAAGGCAGAGCAGAGCTGCACCTTGTAGATTAGTTAAACCAGAGATGCATAAGCTTTTTTAAACAAAGGATTTCCTTCATCAGATGATATGAACAGACTGCAAAAAGCAGAGCTTCCAATAGAAAGCAGTGATTTGAACAAAACAGATACAAAAGAGAGGAAAATGGACAGGGCACTGTTGTAAAAAAAAAGTCACAGAATAGAGAACAACACAAAGCAGTTAACTCATTACAGGACACGGGGTTATAAATGCTAATCCAGGTAATGGGACCATAGTCCCCATTTATGCTACCCAATCTCTGGGCACTGGTGCTTTCTGAGCAGGTTGGAGTGGGAAGGATTTGATGGACAAAAAAAAGAAGGTGGTTGAAGAAAAATTTAGTTTTCTTCCTCTTTTGAGGAAGAAAAGAAAAAAAACCTGTTCTTTAAACAGAAATAAGTTTCTCATTTCAACTTTAGCAGGAAGCCAGCTCTGCTCTGAAGGGGTGAAGGCAGTTACCAAATTCCACATGAGATTAGCTCAGGAAGACCCTAACGCAGGTCTGAACCCCTGCCCAGGATCACAGCACAAATAAAGATCCAGCCACCCAGGAACCTTGGTTATCCACTTAGGAGCAATGGTCTCCCATCTTCACTGACCCTTCTCCAAAGGACATCATTTGTCTCATCATCTGCCGCCAGCACCTGCTCCAAGCCCAGCCCCCCTTCCACCACACTGGACTTTCCAGCTGGAGGCAGTTCTCCACGCTGAGGGCTCTGCTCCTCGCTGCCTGAGTGCTGTTCTGCGGCTGCGAGCAGCACGGGCATTTATCAGCCAAGTTATCGACCCCATCAGGCCAATATCCAATAAAGTACCGATCCGATATCAGACTGATGTATCGGTGCACCTCTAGTTTTTTTCCTCTGAGAACACTTCATCTTATTCAAATGGCTTACAGTTTGGATCAGCATGGGCATATATCTACACTACCTCTGTGACAAACCTGGGAGTCCTGCTAAAGAGGATTACCTATCCACTTGCTCTCACTCACCATGCACCAAAGACCAGAAATTATGGCAAGCATAGCTGTGTTAACAGAGCCCGGAGAATAAGCCCAGAGCTGCTTTCAGGTTCTGTCTTGGAGGAGCTTCTTGGCTTATGCTCATGCAAAGGCAGAGCAGAGCTGCACCTTGTAGATTAGTTAAACCAGAGATGCATAAGCTTTTTTAAACAAAGGATTTCCTTCATCAGATGATATGAACAGACTGCAAAAAGCAGAGCTTCCAATAGAAAGCAGTGATTTGAACAAAACAGATACAAAAGAGAGGAAAATGGACAGGGCACTGTTGTAAAAAAAAAGTCACAGAATAGAGAACAACACAAAGCAGTTAACTCATTACAGGACACGGGGTTATAAATGCTAATCCAGGTAATGGGACCATAGTCCCCATTTATGCTACCCAATCTCTGGGCACTGGTGCTTTCTGAGCAGGTTGGAGTGGGAAGGATTTGATGGACAAAAAAAAGAAGGTGGTTGAAGAAAAATTTAGTTTTCTTCCTCTTTTGAGGAAGAAAAGAAAAAAAACCTGTTCTTTAAACAGAAATAAGTTTCTCATTTCAACTTTAGCAGGAAGCCAGCTCTGCTCTGAAGGGGTGAAGGCAGTTACCAAATTCCACATGAGATTAGCTCAGGAAGACCCTAACGCAGGTCTGAACCCCTGCCCAGGATCACAGCACAAATAAAGATCCAGCCACCCAGGAACCTTGGTTATCCACTTAGGAGCAATGGTCTCCCATCTTCACTGACCCTTCTCCAAAGGACATCATTTGTCTCATCATCTCCTCAACCTGTTTTCGCTTTTTGACTTTTTGTAGCTGTCAGCAATATCAGTAAGCCTTGCAGGCTCCCATGAGGTATGGGTTAGGGCCCACTGCTTATACACCGAGATACAGATGAGGCCACATACCAAATAAAATAGAAAAGGGAAATATAATCTTTCCTTGAGTGTAACAGCAGACTTTGTCACCACTATCCCAGTTTTTGTGTACCATTTTAACAGGCACAGATACTTCTCCCAAGCCAAAAGCCTTTTATAGATAATTCATATTCAATCCACTCTAAAAGTCAACGTGCCTTGTAAACTTGTGTTTTGATACCACGTGTGCTTTACACTTATTTAAAGACAACAGGTGCAAAATATGCCTCCAGCCTTTTTAAGTGCCAGAGGCTTGCTACACCCAGGCTAAAAACATTGCAGAAACATGCACTGCACGGACTTGGGGGAGCCTGCAACCAAGAGAAAGAGAGGGAGAGGAAAGAGGGGTAAGACAATGAACCGCACTGGTTTTGTAAGTACTGCGGGTCGGGGTCGGGGTGGCGGCCCGCGGGCCCGGCGGAGGAGGGGAGCGCTGCGTGGAGCGGCGCTGCCCCGCGCGGGACCCCACGGGCTGCGAGCGCGCCAGGGGGCGGCGGGGGGGCAAAGCCACCCCTCAACGGCGCTGCCTGCTTGCCA